ATAATTTCGTAGTGCTATGGAACATGCGGTTGCGAGCGCCGTAAAACCCTCTACTATAATTATTTTTTAAAATAGTGCTGTGGAAGCGTATTGAAAGCACGTACGCTTCCCGAACAGTCCAGTGTTATTGACGCGTACGCTTCCCGAACAGTCCAGTGTTATTGACGCGTACGCGTCCCGAACAGTCCAGTGTTATTGACGCGTACGCGTCCCGAACACCAGCCAAATTAAATTGGATCATTAGCAGTGGGCTCCAAGTCAAGCCTCTAAAGTCACCAGATACCTGGCAACCCAGATAACAGTTCCAAAGTTGTGGCCCTGCTGGAGTCAAAAGCCTGCGAATGCTACATTTCTAGGCCCTAATTTCTGCAAAATTCGACAGTTTTCTAAGCGCGCATCCTAACATCCCCACGACAACAAAACTCAAAAAGATCAACACCATATTCATCCTAACACCCATCTATCAATGCCAAACATGGACCACGAACAAGACATTAGAGCAAAAAATTACAACTTGTGATATGCGATGCCTTAGAACAGCAGTAAACAAGACCAGGCGAGACAAAATTAGAAACTCTGTAATCCGAGAAATGGTGGGCACAAATGATGTCATGCACCACATCCAACACCAAAGAATAAAATGGTTCGGACATCTACTACGATTACCAACACACCATCCAGCACAACGTGCCTACATCCAAAAATTCGATGGCAACAAGGCTAGAGGGCGACCGAGAAAGACCTGGATAGATGGAGTCAGGGAAACATTAACCACCCACGGCATCCCCCTGACCCAAGCCTCCGGCTGACCAAAGAGAGACGTCTCTTTCTTCCCGCAACACCCAAAAGGGTATAAGCGGCGGATAAAAGTAAAGTAACGTAAGCATGAGGGGAAAGGGGAACTGTGCTTACAAAACCCCCAATATTAATAAAAATCAAGGTAGGCTTTCTGTATAATGATTCAGAAGTGTATTATTAGGCCTAGATAGGGAAGGGACAGGAAGGGGTGCCAACATTATACAGGTAAAAAGTTATTTTTTGGGCTAGTTTTTTTTTTTTTTTAGCAAATTGAAACCTTACAAAATTAGTGTTCAGATTCCGAATGAATAATATAAAACGTAGAATAGACTTAGATCTAGATAAATTTAGTATAAGTCTAGTAATGCTATTCATATGTCGGTATAACTAGGTGTTAAATTACGCTAAAAATGTTTCTTCATACGAGGGGCATACCAAAATTATTTTTTTACCTGACCATGAAGGAATAAAGGTAGAACGCTGAAATTTGGTACTAAGCTTAGTCTTTCTTTTTGTAGTCGCCGTCCAGAGTTATACATGTTTGCCATCTGTGTATGACCTTGAAAATAGAGGACCCTCTCTATGTCAGAAAACCAGCCCGCTACTGCTTCTTTGACCTCATCATCACTTTTTTACACCAAAGTTTTATCATAGCATAGGATGGGTAAACAGTTCCATATATATATACGGCATGCATCTCCGTAAAAATACCCTGTAGTTGCTTGCCTTGCAAGAACAAATACTTCATTACTGTCCTGCGCTCAAGTTTCTTCATTTTTATGTTGAAACTGGTGAACAACATACCCCAATTCACTTACAGTGCGCTGGTGGTAAAACAAGTAATCTGAAATTCCCCAAAATTTACAAGTATTCTAGGAAGATGACATTTTTGAGGATGCTGATAGAGACCAGAATCGACATAATATAATGCAAACCATTGCAGCAGCAAAAACAACAACAACAAACAAACAACAACAACAACAGCAGCAGCAGCAGCAGCAGCATCTCCACTACCACAACATAGGCCCTACCACGTTTCTTCATAATGTACATGTACTTTTCTTGTGGATGTTTATCATCAGCGTCTGCTAGCTAGGATTAGTATCTTGAAATGTCAAAACGAAAGAGTGGATGGGAACGAGCGAAGGAGTTGGAGAAGAAGAAAATTAAAGAAGGAGAAGAACTTTAAAAAATAACAAAACTGGCTTCAATTTTTCATGTTAAAGAGAAAAGTAGAAGCGAAGCTTCTTCATCTCAAATCGACAGCAACCAAGAAAAGCCTACAGCTGAAGCTGAGCTAGCTGATGCTAAAACAGTCAAAACTGATAATGATAATACTTCAGGAACAATAGCAAATGATATAGGGCTTCTAGGTGATATAACGGACCATGTGCTTGAAATGTGCATAACTCGCGGAGCAGACCAGTTTCGGAATTTGGCCAGTGACTATCCAGAAACAAAACGAGACTTTTCTGGCGTGAATCGGTATTTAAATAACAGTGCATTCAAACGTGTTTTGTCAAATGGAGAAGTACATGTAGTTGATCGTGACTGGCTCGTATATTCTCCAGCCAAAGCCTGTGTTTTCTGTTTCCCTTCCTTTTTGTTTCCGCCAGACCGTGTACATCTTTCTGGCCAGGGGTTAACAGATTGGAAGAATATAACCAACTATTTAAAAACACATGAAACAAGTCCCAACCATATTATAAACTCAGTCTTGACTTTATGTCAACGTAGTGTTGCTGCTGGGCGAGTTGACGACTGGAACAGCGAAAATACTGAAAAAACATGCTGTTACGTTGTATTAAGACAATCATTTTCCTTTGTGAGAGAGGGCTGGCTTTTCGAGGCAGTAATGAAATCGTTGGGTCCAAGGACAATGGGAACTACCTGGGTATTTTATAACTAATTGGGCAGTTTGATCCATGTTTATCTCAGCATATCAAAACCCATGCCTACCAGGGACGTGGACACACTTCATATCTGTCAAAAACAACCAGTGGAGAACTGATTAACTTGTTAGGCAAGCATGTTCTTGAACTCATCAAGGATGAAATTTCTAAAACAAGGTACTTTTCAGTCTCCGTAGATTCTACTCCAGATGTTACGCATTCTGATCAGTTAACCATTGTTTTACGCTATGTCAATATGGTTGATCACCAGCCCGAGGAGCGCTTTTTGACATTCATCAACATCTCGAGCCACACAGGACAGAATCTTGCAGATACGTTGCTCCAATACCTAGAGGAGCAAGGCATCGACTTTGAGAATTGTCGTGGCAAGACATACGACAATGCCAGTAACATGTCTGGTAAATACATTGGAAGGCAGGACATTTTGAAAAATAAAAACAATCTTGTGGATTATATTCCGTGCGCAGGCCACTCTCTAAATTTAGTTGGTCAATCAGTGGTAGATTGCTGTGTGGAAGCTGTGTCTTTCTTTCAGTTCCTGCAGCGCTTGTATTCATTTTTTGTTGCATCAACACATTGTTGGAATATTTTATTCCTACACGTTGAGGAAAAACCTGAATGTGTTGTCTCAAAACACCCATGGGTTACCCGGTGGTCTGCCCGGGCTGATGCGACAGAAGCAGTCTTCAGGGGCTACAAACAATTCCAAAGTGCTATACAAGAGATTGCAGAAGATATTGACCAGAATGATCTCACGAAGCACGAAGCTGGCGCACTTGCAAGTTATTTGGACACCATTGAAGTTGCTTTTAAGTTTGAAATTTGGAATGACATTTTACATCGTTTCAATTGCTGCAGTAAACTGTTACAAAGTTCAACTATTGAACAAAGCCCAGCCATTGGATTGCTTAAAAGTTAAGACAAATATTTGAAATATATAGATGAGTGTCGAGAAAAGTTTGACTATTACCATGGCAAGGCAAGTGACCGATGAGGAAGCAGCATATATATCAGATATTCGGAGAGCACATGTACACAGGAGAACAGCCGATGACGGAGATGCCGCAAGTGTGAAGGATGAAATGTCGGGTCAGGAGAAATTTAAAGAGAATACATTCTTGGTGATCATGGGCCAACTGAAAAGTGCCCTATGCAGACGAATTGACGCCTAGTCAACAGTAGTGCAGCGGTTAGGTGTTTTAACAGAGTATGATTCAATGTCAGCTGAAGACATCAATTCTGCAACATCAGCACTTGTTAATGTCTATCCACATGATCTCTCTCCTAACTTTCCAATGTAATTTAGACAGTGCCTATGTTGGGTGAAAGAGCAGGTACATCCAGATAGTGCAACTGGAAGCGCTCAGAGCATTTTCAAACTCTTGCATACCACTGGTGTCCACTCAGCTTTTCCAGACAGCGAGATAGCATTGCGGATGTACCTGTCTCTAATTTCAACTAACTGCGCTGGCGAACGTTCATTTTCGTAATTGAAGCGCATTAAAGACGTTACGCGTTCAACCATGTCTCAGCAGAGGCTAGGGATGCTAGCAGTTCTTTCAGTTGAAAGCGATTTACTGCACAACGTCGACATTAACAAAGTCGTTGATGAATTCGCTGTTGCAAAAGCACGCAAAGTGGCAATCTAGGTAAGAAATAATAATGCATAATTTAATTGTTACGAGACCTTAGTTGCATTATCTTACTGGTAAAATGGTATGTTGTCCATATTCTATACTGTCATACTTTGGACTGGCTGACAGACAGACACACGCACAGAAAGACTGTGCATGTGTGTGAAGTTTTCAATTTGCACGCGCGCGCGCGTGTGTGTGTGGTGCTAAAGGGGTGGGGGAGATTTTGCACCATATTTAACTTTTTCAGGCCACTCAGTAAAGTGTGCCTTGGGGCCAGCTGGGTCTTAATCCGGCACTGCCCTCCCTCCCCCCCCCCCCCCTGGTGTGTTCCGTCTGCTTGAGCACATTGGGTACACACCACACCCTGCCGACGTAACACATTCGCTCCATCCTTTATTGGAGAAATGAGAGGCATGGTAGGCCTAGAAGAATGGGCTGGCTTATCAGGCTATGATTTCTACTTCTCTGTGCATGCCATACACTCCCCACTCATTCGCCCCGGCCTTCACTGTTGGCACACGCGGGCTTTCCCATTCTTTGTTTCGCTAGATTACCAACAAGTGTCTTAACTGGCGAGGTTTTACATATAATATAAGATCTATGTAGGTATGTGTATTAAAATTAGCCTATGCGCTGTGCACAGAAGCAGCAATATTCCGCTATAACCGACTCGCGTGTTTGTCTGATTGCCCTATAGCAGTATTTTATTTACAAAGGTAAAGAAGAAAAAAAACGGGGTTTTAGAATAGTGTCTTTATACGAGCAGACTTCTCGTTATTTCAGGACCCGTTATAAGTGGACTTCAATGAAGCACGTCTGACGCGTTGTACAGCCCCGCTGATAACAGACCACACAGCGACGCTGCTCAAGCACACGTAATGACGTAATGTATTGTTTTCATTTGCACGGCGCGCGCTAGGCGAGCTACAGGTCAGACCTAGATGCACACTGGGACCGGCAGGCTCACATGGATGGAGTTAAATCTACGCCCCAAATTGCACCCCTACTCTCCTCCCTTGCCTGGCGGCATGGCATAAAGGTTAAAGGCTTTTCTCAAGCCCCGGTTACAAGCAAAAATGAATTGTACAAAACCTGGACGATCAATCGATCATGAGACAAATCGTCAGTGTAACCACAAAATTGAACAAAGTTTGGATGATAGGACGATGGCTTGGAGACTCGGTCGAGAAATCAAACGCTGCTCGATATTTTCCGTGCGATCACGGTCAGATCTAGGGGAGACGCGCTGTGGCGTAGAATCACTTTAAAATTTGCCGCCGTACAGGATTAAACTTAGGCCACTTAGGGCTCAAAATTTTAAAAATAATTATCGCAGGTAAAAACTTATTTCATTTCGGAATCAGCATCTCAAAATAGCACAGATGCTTGCGTAGAACCTGATTTGAGGCGTTATTATGTAAATTTTAGCAGTTTTATTATTTACTTGAGCGTATCAAGGTCACCCGGTGCGTCGCACATCTGCAGTCAAGTCAATGACTAGGAATCTCCCTGATCGAAAGGAAACTGGACGATATATTGGAACGTCTAAACAGATTACACAGCTCTATAATACGGACGGTTCTCGCATACGACGAATCTGACACAATTTATCATTACGTGTAACTTAGCCACCAGGTACCGAATAAAGGGAGGGGAAGGGGGCGCGGCAACATTCAACCTCATATCCCTGTACTTGTAGGAACAAATCTGTTTTATTTTTCCTTCAGTGAAAAAAAAAAGAACAAGACATCATGAAATTTTAACGATTTTAGTGAGTTACTGTGATAACTTTTCCCATTTATTATTTGTGTTTAGGAACAAATCAGTTTCATCATAAAATATAGCTAAGCCAATGTATAAAAGTTTTTAAAATGCACAGAAAATTGAGGTAGCCAACCCGGTACCGGTACTAATACTAATGGTAATTTGCCATTTACACAAAAAAAAGAAGTTTCATTCATGTACATCTAGATTCTAGATTCTCTAAATAGTCTAAATAATGTTTCACATGATCGTCGGTCGTGGCAAGCTGAATAATAAACGAGGGGGTGCGCAAAAAAAAAATTAAAAAATTAATAAGCGCTTCTTCGATACCTTAGAGTATGGAACCAATTTTGATGGTTTTCTTTCAAATCAGGGCTGAGTGACAAAGCATTTTCCATCTGAGACAGGTAAAAGAACCCTCTGAGGCGAAGGAATTTCTCTTTCCGTTTCTGCGTTAGACAGATTTATGTTTTATTTATTATAGAGGACTTTATCAAGGGGGGAGCCGGGAGACTCTGATATGGCAGGTTTCCGTTAAGGCATGTGCGACTGTATACGTTATATACAGTGGAAACCATAACAGGCTCTGTAATAACAGGGATCCGGTAATAACAGGGATTTTTAAAATCCCCGTTTCTTCCTATTCTTTGTCTCTATTAAAAGTTATCGCAATAACAGGGCCTCATCGGATCCCAACCGGTTATAACAGGGACAAATGCTCGTTAACAATGTGTAAAAAGTAAGAGAGAGAGAGAGAGAGAGAGAGAGAGAGAGAGAGAGAGAGAGAGAGAGAGAGAGAGAGAGAGAGAGAGAGAGAGAGAGAGAGAGAGAGAGTAACGCAGTGATGGAGCAAGCACACGTAGCGGCTGAAGCGAGAGAGGGCTGCGGTGCGCTGCATACTTCGATCTAGCCCTAAGCCTAGCTACACACACTTGTGATGTGCCATGCACAGGCGTGCCACATTGCCAAAACCCTTGTTTGTGGGTACTTGTGGGAAAGGAAACTGTCCATGAATAAATACAGCTGGATTAGTGAACAAATGCCTACTTCCCTTACATTTCTGATTTAACAGGCATCTGATAAAACAGGACTTTTTCTCTGGTCCCACCATCCCTGTTATATCAGGTTTCCACTGTATAGCAAAAAGAGGGTGGTGGTTACACCAGTCACCTCTCCCTCTAGCAGACTAGCACACATACATGATGTACATGCTCCCGCCGCCCTAACTTCAAAGTGACAAATAGAAGTAGCAGAAGGAAAAAAAACCAGGTACGACATTTGACCGATGCCCTTAAAAAAACCCACATAAATCATACTCAAGAATCAAATTGTGTATCTTTCATTTTTTACCTTTGGCTTTGGCAGGCCTACATAAAAACCCATTGAACTTGAACCTAGTTTAATTTTTAAAAGATCATCTTTATTCTTTTTTATGCGTAAACAAGATATAACAATAATCTGGTCAGGGGAACACCATGTAAATTGCAATGACTTTAAACTGATACAGAAAAAGCCAGCACAACTACTTTCCAAGGAAACGAGACACACATCATGTACACAAACACACTTTGTTCCCAACAAAGGACAACAATTGAAATGAGGTACTGGACACAGACATTTCAACTTGAAAAACTAGCAAATCATACCTTCCTTTGAAGCAAAAATCACAAGGTGCAGTTTTTGTTTCAAGTGCCTCCTGATCCTTATCGACTTCCATATTATTTTTATTCAAAGTCAGCTCCAAGTCTGAATTTCCTTCGAACTTTTCATTTAAATGGTGTAGTGTGTGTGCCAGGTGAAAGGTAGGCCTACTGTATGACGCATTATGAAGAATTGCATTTGTGTCACGACATAGTGGAATCAGGCGCTCGTCAGTTTTCGGGCATGTGGAGTTATTGACATTATCTTAAAGGTTATTCATTTGCCCCCTGCTTTCGAGGGAATGAACGTCCATTTATCTGGAATGAAAGTCGCGTTTGCGATTGAGGGAGGTGGGGTCGCCTGGTTTCAGAATAAAAATTAGCGAGAAAATGGCCGCCAAAGTTTGGTGACTTCCATAGCTTAAGAGTCTTTGGAAACTGCAATTACATTTTTTTTATTCCCCTAATCAACGTTTTTCAATGAAATCCACACATAAAAGTGTTTTGAACGGACATACAAGATGTTGAGTCCAAAAAAAATTTCAAAAAAATGTCCAAACTGGCCGAAAAATGCAGATTTCTCGGATTTTAATATTTTGACGAGCGCCTGATTTCACCAAGATTGGAAGGAATGATTTTTAAGAAGAAAAAAAATCATTATTTCTTTAATGAGGCAATATATCCAACACAGTTATTTTTATTAGAGTTGTGAAGATAGAAATGAAAAATCCCAATTCATTTCAGAAGAAATTTAGTACCCACCAGGGTGGTGCCACTGACTGAAGTGTCTTTAGGCCATTCCCAAAGGAGGGACATTTCTTGTTCAAATGCACAGTAGAATTGTAAATGGGCTGATTGTCATGCTGAAAACTGTGCCTGAACTACAACAGTGAACTCCTGCTTTTTCTTTCCTAATCCTTAGTATTGTCATTTTCCTCTACTTCTTTCGTATGTTTGTCACACTCTTGTGACCCGATATTTCCGGGGTGCCTTGATAGTCGAAGCAGACTCTGTGCTGTTGAAGCTAGAGAGGTGAGCAGAGTAAGTATGATTCCCTGGAAGGACTTCTCTGTTGACATCCACCCCTTGGCGCTCATATGACCTTACACAGTTGCGAGAGCCAAAAACCTCTACTAAAAAAAGAAAAAAAGAAAGAAATTTAGTGGTAAACTTTTATCTTTAACTCTGTCACTCAGCTGAAGTGATCAGAGTGCAGTGAAACCTCTCCAAGCAAAGGAAAAAGACTGGCTAGAGTGTCCACCACCTCTACCAGGATTATTAGCACTCCACAACATCAAAGGAAAAAAATTGATACTTAGGCTGTACAGTTTACAAAAATGACCAAACACAACTTCTCCAACATGCACGGTAAAAACAAACCCAGAATGTAACAGTATCATCACAAGAACAGAACACAGAAAAAGTACCTCTGACTATACAGCTACACTGACAGGTCTCTATACAATAAACGCTTCACCACTCAAATAGTTTTCTTTCAAAACATATCTTTTATTCCATATGTCCATCTCTCATAGCATCTGTATTTGTGCATGCATTCATTCTCTACACACACACACTGACGCACCAAATGCATTAAAAGATTCCAACAAATAAATAGCATGAAGACTGTACACAATGATTTGATGGGGTGTGGGCGGATGGTTATGACTGATGGAATAAATAAGGCATTAAAATGAACTGATTGCAGGAGGGTTCTTACAAAACAAAGAAAGGAATGGGGGTTTTCATACATACGTTCCATGCGTTTGAAGTTTTTAGAAGCAACATTCAACTGATATACTCAAACAGAATACAAATAAAGGGCATTTATCAATAGTCACGCACAAAACGAACACACACTCAGTGAAACACGCCCATAACGAACAGATTTTCAGGCCACTAAGTTTTTCTTAGAGTTCTGTGTTCTGCTGATTTCGTTAAATGCATGCTAAACTGCAGTAAGATATCTGCTGTGATAATTGTTCCAAAGCCTGAAGACATAGAGCCCATTTCTCCGATTCAGAAATACCTTTCCTTACGAACTTCTGTTTCTTTGTACATGAGGCTAAAAAACCATCCTAATTAGCTTCTTGCCCTTTTCCATCTGTGATGTGCACACACTTGCAAGATTTCATCACACCAAGACTATGTTTAAACAAAGCAACCACAACATAAAATAATGTAGGCCTCCATTTTGAGTTTGAACACAATGCAATCACCTTTTATGGAACACTTGGGTAGTGTGTAAGTTATTTCCTATGATATAAGATCTATGAAGTTACATTGAAGAATCAACTCAACTGATCAGGATTTGTCCAGAAATACCTTCAGACAAATTGGACTTTGATCATGAATAAAATGGCCTGGGATTTCATGCATGGTTAGCCGGCTCTACTAAACCGTTCCCTGTTGGTTGTCCCTTTGACATTGCTACAGATTTCCTTCAATCAAATTTGACTATCATGGCTACAACAGTAATAATACCATCATAAAAAATGAAAAGAATCCCACATTTCAATTGAGCAGGAATGATAATAAACACATTTCTGAGAAAACTATTTTCCATGAGAACAGAGAGATAATTTAGCAATCACAAGGACAGAAAAATCAATAATCAATGCACATTCTGATAGAACAATTACAATAGCCAGCGAAAGAACTGCAAATATTGTTTTATTTCACATTCAAATTTTAAAAGCATTTTCAGCCAAATTAAAACCATACACCTGTGCATATATGCCATATGCCCTGAGATGTAGAGGAGAGGGTGGAAGAAGGAAACATCAGAGAAGACTTTGCAGAATCAAATCACAGCGAGTCAAGATTTGTGTGGCACCGTAGTGAAATTAGGCGCCCGTCAAAATAACAAAATTGAAGAAACTGACGTTTGTCAGTTGTGCAATTTTTACTTAATTTTTTTCTGACTCAACACATTTTATGTCCAGTTAAAAACCTATTTCTGCTTGGATTTTACTGAAAATTGTCCAACAAAGGCACAACAAATGTAAATGTGCAGTTTACAAGGACATCCAAGCTTTGAAGACATCAAACTTGGACGGCCATTTTCTCACTAATCTTATCTCGGATACCACAGGACCCTCTCGTCCTTCAGTCACAAACATCTCTTATTCAAGATTGGTATTTTAAAAATCAAAATCAAGACACATGAACAAGTTTTATCACCATAACAAAAACTCCATACGCACCAGAATTGACGAGCACCTAATTTCAACGTGCTGTGACACATTTGGTAGGATCACAAAGGTACTCTGCCGTGCCAAAGCAGACAGACGCATCTGCAAAAATTTTTGCATCTTTGTTTAAATGGACGTCTATACCCATTCTGCATCTTGTGTCAAAGGCAGGAAGACGTATCTGCACTTCATATAGGATATTTCACTATTTGCAAACAGACGTAACTGAAGGGCCATGCCCATATTTCCAATGGCAGTGCGATGTAACTCAAAATAATGAAAAGTGCTGATATGTCGTTCTACCTTGGCACGGCAGCACTGTTCACATAGCAGAAAATTAACCCAATCACCATCAATACAGACAAAAATACCACCTAAATCACCCGTTGCACGAACCTGTCTATGAACCTAAATCAACCATAGTTTCAAGCTCTCTACCAGCAACTGTGATTTTCCATGCTTGCACCCTACTGCTGTCAGGATTTTTCCCACAATAAATTAGTGAGGAAATTCTCACCTGACATAACCTGACTTTCGCTTGTCTATGATCTTCCAGTGTTGGCCAATACCTATAGTTCTATAGTTCCGTTATCAAGTAATTAGATTAGACTTTTGGCCTTGAGAATCTTGAAATTATGACATTGCTGTCTCGATCTTTTATTTCCCAAATTGAGCTTGCAACTAGATATTGATCTCTTTTTAACCGTTTCGCACTTACAGCGCCCGTGCCGGTGACCCCCGCTCATCCCTATAGCGCCCGCCACGGGTGTGTTTGTTTCGTTGCCGCTGGAGGCTTCTACTTTTAATATCATCAGAAGTTTCACTTACTTAGCTATCTTTATAGAGGAAGAGTTCCGGTTTACTATGGTGTTTTTCTTGTTTCGCTAGCACAAAGAGTCACTTTTTGAGCGGGAACAAAAGTCGGAGGAGATTTTAGTTGTAAACACGCCATCATGTCTCTAGGATGCATGGGCGCAAAGCTGCCCGATATGAGTACTGCAAAAACAAAATAAAAACACCCAAAGAAAAGTCTTTTAGGTGCTTTCAAGTTTCCACCAGAGGCTTCAATCTCTGTGAATGTGTTGTATTTCTTTTGTGTGGATTACCTCTTTGTCAGTGGCAGAAACTTCGTGAGTTGAAGAAATGAATACGAGGTCTAGATCTAGACTCGGAATCCAAGACACGCATCTCAGAAAGACCTCTCATATCATACTCTTCGACTCCACTTATAATTTTGTACTAGTAATTTAGCTCATTCATTTTCCTTTCAGAAAATACTATTTTCATCATTTTTGGTTGTGTTTGTGATTTTTTTTTTTTTTTTTTAGTAAGGTACCCCTTCAATTTTCGTGGAGTTGTTGCCCTTGTCTTAAGGATTGGGGGGGGCACAGCTGGCCAAGCCTGCTAAGTGCGAAAGGGTTAACTCACTGAGCGCTGGTCCCAAACATAGACAAGATTGGAGATTGGGATTTCCCCTTTTTTGTCAAAATGACCATCTAAAGATATGATACAATTTGCTACACAGTTTCAGTTGCATTGTTTTTCTTACCGCAAATGAAGATTTCCTAAACACAGTTTTAAAAATACCAGATCTAAGGATGTCTGAGAACTCTGCGAAACTGATCATAACAATTAAGTCTTAGTAAAACAATGAAGAATCAACTCAACTGATCAGGACTTGTCCAGAAATACCTTCTAACAAACCTAATCTAGTCATATTTTTGTGTTACAATAATTAATTTTGGAGTTATTTTCTTTCACGTTTAGTGAGCAGGTGTTTGACAAAATAGTGGAGTATTTTAAAAAATTGTGGGGGGGAAAATGTTAACAGATAATTGAGTAAAGTTAAAAATAAAGAAATGTACCTGATCTTCATCTGAGCCAAAAATTAAGCTTAATTATTACATTCTTGAGAATTTTTTTAAAGTGTGAAAAAAACTAGTTTGAAGTAGCCATCGCATTTCCGCAATGGCCAGGGCTCAGTGAAATAACACTGACAGTTCAAAACATACATCTGTACAATTTATCCTTTACAGTTTATTTGGTACCATTATAATAAATCATATCTGGTTGCTGCTGTAGACAATTTCATTTTTCTTTTTTAATGTTGAGTTAATCTTTGTTGTGCTCCCCCCAGGAGTTGATTTTTAGAAAAGGGCTGTACATGAGACCCAGTCTAAATATTTAAGTCATGGAGCATGAGTGAGACTGCTCAGAACTTGAGAAGTAAAAATGAAAAGCAACAGAAAACCTGCATCAGTTTTAAAGTAATGTCAGCTCAAATTGGTGTGGTGAGACCCCCTCCTCCCTAACTATCTGCACCCTTACATAACACTTGCAAAAGGGACATTTTAGCCCACTGAAATGCATAAGACATTGATGAGTGGAAGTAGCACAACTCAACCAAAAAAATAAATAAAAAAATAAAAAGGATATCTCGCAAAGAAGGAACAAAGCTTTGCAAATGGATGACTGAGAATGACTGGAAACCAGTACAACAATGGCCAGGTATGTGAAATAGAATTTGCATTCAATATGAGGTGGTCATGACACACGACACATTTCTACAAAAACAGAAACTGCAATTACTGCAATCAACTCATAGACGACTCGTGACAAAAAATGTTACTATTCATTTATCTTAGCATCTATTACCTCAATCTAAAAGAATAATATTATACCGTTTCCAAAGAATATTCAAATAAAATTTAATCTACCATTCAAGCACTGATATAAGATTCAAACCTCATTCAGTTCTCAAAAGCACTATAACTTTTACTTTAAAGAATTGACATAATTTTAAAGTAAAAGTTGACTTAGCCACCTATTAAATCATTTCAAAATAACCCTATCCAGTGTGACTGAGCACCAAGATTATGGCACAAAAAGTGAATCTGACTGGGTATTTAATATATTGAAGCAAAGTGTCTCATTTTACATTACGGATCTTAATAAAACACATAAGTGTTGAGCTACATTTCCCTGGCTCCACACAGGGCAAACAAAAATCATAAATGAAGGCTCACGAATCAAATATGCGATTGGTGCAGTAAATCTGCAGTAGCAATGTAACTGTGGTGGTGACTGACCGCACTGGGGGAGGTGGAGATAGTATTACCGTACCACCATTGCTGTCTAGCAGGTGGGAGACAATTCTAGATTGCATGTGAAAAAAAATGATGCTGAAATTGTGGAAGGTATCAATCAATATGATCAGATGTTGCCCATGTGTAATACTGATGCATAAACACATTCGCTCTTATGTCTACACTGTCATAACTGCAACACACACCAAAGATGATGCAAACGTCAGTGATGGGCTTTCACGTGTCACAACAAAGTGTGCAACAACTGTGATGATGCTACCAGTTTGGAAGTCAGCTCACATTCTGACAAAGTGCATAATCTTAATCAGACAAACATTTCACAACCTGTAGTGTTTGTGCTGTGGTGCAACAAACTTCCAGAGACTTTCAAATCCTTGAGAAAATTGACTTGAAATTTTAGTCTAAGGCAAAGTAGGAACTGACCTCCATAAACATTCCAAGACAACCATTTAGGACAGAAATACCAGGAGCATTGATCCCAGGAACAGACCAAATCAGATGCCGAACCTGCTAATGCAACAGTGTTCTAGTAGCCGCCCACTGCTCTAGTGTTTGTTCTTTCAGAATGATTTAATGACTTGTTCCCTTACAAAATCAGTTTCAGGATGCACCAATCCATAAATTGTCTTGTAGAAAGCCTATAATTTTGCGTCTGTGTGTTTTGTCCATGCCACCTGGATATCTGAATTTCCCTACATCTTTGCCATTGCATCTTTGAAGATAGTCCTGAAAGAGAAATTAAGACAAATTAATCAACTCATACCACATTTTGGAAAAGCTAGAGAAAAAACATTTTAAAAAGCTTTAAAACTTTAAGACTAAAAAAAGGGACTCGATAAAACATGCACCATTAACGTCATCCTTATTTGACACTGAGGAAAAAGCTAATGCACCTCACAAGCAGGGACTCAAAAAACGTAAAATATTTATGTACTTTTGATGGAAATATTTGACTTTGAGTTTGTCAAATGTAACAAATGATAAAAGCTTGCCAGGATTCTGCTTTGAAACCCTGGATGCAAAACAGTCTCCTTTCACACCCATTTACATGCAATTCGGTTGCTGCTAAGATGGAATTCCAAAAAAGGGAATCCATGTTTGATCTCACATGACTATGTCTGAAAGTCACTTAGGCTCGCAGGGTTCAAACACGTTGGCTGTAGCACAATGCACCTTCTCTTTGTCATTCCTCAGTGAATAAATTAAGTATCCAATGGGTTAACACTTTTAAAAATGGAGTTTTCCATATATGAAAGTATGGGGATCTTGCACAATATGATGCCAGATAATATTGTTGATGACTTTCACATTAACAAAAAAATTAGTGCAGCCTGAATGCGGGTCATCAAAAAGATTGCCTCTCCTCAATAAATTCTCTTTCCCAAAGACAAACTATATCATTATGAACAAGTATTCCACAAACACTATTTTCAAGAATCAATTTTGGCAATTCACAAAGTCATCATTGCATGAAAATGTAGAAACAGAGGTTTCCTCCAGAACACAAATCATCCTTCATGACGTCATAAAATAATCAAGAGTGATGTATCGTGAAACTCCCAACAGTCAGTTTGAAAGTAGAGATGTAGATTAATTGAATGCTTCGATGAATGAAGTCAATATCTTAGTCACTAAATGGCAACTTCCATTATTTTCTGATTTACCCTGGTATGTCGAGCTGAAATGCACTTGCCAACATTTATTATTTTTCTTGAAAGGGAATAACCCGAAGTGTGAGGAAAATTGCTTCTCCACAGTATATTTAATATTTCACTGCCATTATTGCAAAATAATTTCAGCTCTCACTTCTAGCCGCTTAATTGATTCTAAAAGAGAAAAAGATAATGATTTTTCAGTTTGCGATCCAATCCTGTTTCCCTTGGTTACACATCTAAACCACTTGTAATTGTACATGTTTTCTGTACCGAACACCACATGCTTTAAAGTGTCACAGGGTGTATTGTCAATCTTCCTCTTACTTCTATTGATGATATTTACCATCAACACCAGTAAATTTTCTGTTCACATCTAGGTCATACTGACAGTACTCCTCACTTCATAGATCATGAAAATGTACATGCAATCTTTATTAGTATATATTTTCAAACAATCAAATGACGACAGGTATACTAAAATCTCACCAAGGAACATGGATAATCATCCCATTTTGCCACTACAAGGGTCCACTAGAGGCCTTGTTTTACCACCAGTGAAAGGATTAACTCACTGACTACGGTTCCCTTCACAGGTACGGGCGGGCGGGCGGTTTGCTGGTACGGATCCCGTACTGCTGACGGGATGGACATTGCGGTTTTGTTCCGAAACTTGTGCTCCCATCACATGTAAGGAAACGGACTCCAGTGCTAGTTTTGCCACTGGTTTCGTTTCGTGCCAAGTTTGGTGGAAGTTGCATGGTAACTTTTTCAGCACTTGAAGGTGAAAGACAGTCACCACAACTGGGGTTGAACCAGCGCTTCCACCAGCTGAAGTTGAAAAGTAAGGAAAATTCTGCCAGGGGTCTGGGGGCGAAGCCCCCGAAGAAATTGAAATTTAGTGCTTTCAGAGGGCTAAAAATGACATTTGGGAGCCTGTTTGAAGAGATTGCCTGCAAACCATAACATTTATTTTTTCACCAACATTTTGTCTTGTTTGATTTCTTCACCAAGATCTACGTACTATATTTCCATTGATGGCGATGTTTAAAAACAGGTTCCCCTTCCATTGCTACTAAAATTCAATTAATTTATCATCGCACCATTGATAGAAGGCAAACCTGGGAATAATGAATAGATATGTACCTTCACAATACAGTTACCCTGCGTATACCCTAATTTTCCTTAAATTTCACGCCTGAATGTCGCATGTCACAACCTCGGAACACCACTTCGAATTATTCTTGACGTTAGTAGTTTTAGGCTGGTTTTAGCATAAATTTCTTTCATCGCGGCCCTTATCGTGTTCTCGTGCCGTAGAATCTCCGCATTGATCATTTCTCTAGATCTAGACAAATTTGTAAAAAAAAAGTTTCTTTCTGACATTCCTTTTCTAAGATCACAAGTCAATTTACTTGATCAACGCGCAGATTTTCCAGCCACGGGAACAATTCGAAGATAGACAGACGGAATGAGTGAATGATAGAAAGGGGAGGAAATTGGCTAAAAAGTTCGCCAGATTTTGATCAATCCACAGGTAAGAATGTACTGCTGACAAGCCCGCAATGAAAGCATGGGGCATAGCGGAATAATGGCCGATGGCAGAAAATACGCAATCTGGCAGGTTTCTATAATATGAACTTATTGCCGAGAGAATTACTGAAAATATCTGTAACTTATACTAGTACTAGACGATACGAAGGCAAGTACGGATCTTTTGCTACGGAATTTTGGTAGTCCTACGCTGTCACATCTTTTTACGGAGGGAGTTGATAATGATGGAGGAACAAGTACAGAACTGAAAAATACAGAAGAGTGGAAGCACTGTTGAACTGACCGGAACTTGCGCTATGTTTTTTCTATACAGCTGATACCATACTAATTTGACAGTTGCATCGAAGTAACAGTCGAAGAAGTTGCATGAAAAAGAATCACATAATTTCGCTGTTTTCGATACTTCTGTTCGTTTTACTATTTCTAGTGACTCAGAATATGATGTGTCCGACAGTTAGGACCCTGGTGTACCCACGACCCGAGTCGTAGTTTTAGGGCTATATCGAGCACTAGTACTGGTGCTGTTGTAAGCGCAACGAAATCACAACTTTGTGCGTTACATCTACCTCATATAATTCAGTGTATGGGTCTGAATCAACGCATAGCCTGGCTTTTATATTTCCACCAAACACTCACACATGCATACAAATCAGAACAGAACACTTTGAACTTTTATTTATGTTGTTGTTGTGAATTTTTCTGTCTGTCACGTCTCTGGGAAATTTTTTGGAAAATCTAATTTTTGCCAATCTTTAAAAAATCATTAAAAATTAAAGTATTAGACTTAGAAGATAATTTTAGTTTTCAAAAAATTAGATTTAACTAGAATGTAACTTTACAGTCTCAAAAAATAATCACAATAGGGTAATTCTGAGAGTTGTGGTGGTGTTTTGAAATACTCCCAAAAATGCCAGCATTCAGCGCTAGTGACTGGTGAAAGGACCCAGTAGTCAGTGAGTTAATAATTTAGTAATAAAGCAGTAATAATAAGAATAATAACTATAACAATTATTTTAAAAAACCAACCTATTAATCCATTGATGGTCATAACTGAAAAATATGTGGCTCTATCAGGAATTAGTGTACTCAGAATTCGTTTCAACTAAAGCAATACTAAATGCTCATATTCACAGACCCAACATTTTCAACCCCACATATTACTATTGTCATCCAAGACATTTTTCAGCCACTAAGAGCAGGCAACTTAACAGCAAAAACTTACTTTAATTATACATGTCTTGATCGTGATGTAGTTTGCGGGTGACATGCCCATTGAATTGCATAGCTGAAATGATAAAAACATGAGTAAGTCCATGTAGCCACATCAGCAATATTTACAACCTCTTCAAAAAAATCTTCTTGGCTCATCTCATGGATTTGTATAAACTAAAATGAAGACTGCCCGCTCTGACATATTCCTGGAATCACTAAAGAGAAAGCTGTTTAGTTTAAAGCAATAGAAAGGCGACAGGGAATATGCTGCGCACATTCGACTATAACAAGACCTGTGTTTTTCTGTGCCTCTGCTTGTTCCGAGTTTTAAAGTTGCTTGAATAACATTACTGATCTCATCTTATTCTTGCATTGGTAGCAAAGAGAGGTATGCTTGTACAACTACAACTGCTACTATACTACAACAGTGTATTCTATTTCTTTTATTACAATGTCGGGCGATTTCAAGGCTGAAAATGCAATATCACCTTGTTTCACACAGGGAGTGCTTAATGAAAAGGCAGTGCCAGACATTTTGACGGGCAAAATAGACAGGTCAGTCAGCACAGAATTTTCTTTAGCTGTAGTAGAGGTTTTACGGCGCTCGCAACTGCATACGGTCATATGAGCGCCAAGGGGTGGTTGTCAACAGAGAAGTCCTTACAGGGAATCAGACTTACTCTGCTCACCTCTCTAGCTTCAACAGCACAAAGTCTGCTTTAACTATCAAGGCACCCCGGAAATAGAGGGTCACAAGAGTGTGACAAACATAAAAAATAAGTAGAGGGAAAATGACAATAGTATGGATTAGGAAAGAAAAAGCAGCAGTTCCCTGTTGTAGATCATGCACAGTTATGAGCGGGACATTGATGAATCAGCCCATTTACAATTCTACGCACAGAATTTGATAGCCTTTAATATAACAAAAAATACAAACAATAACAATACAAATAATAATGATATATGCAGCATTGTGAAATTAGGCCCTGATCAAAATAATAGTATCAAAGTAACCAACATTTTCCTGTCCGTTTGCTATTTTTCTTTAATCTTTATTTGCTCATCACTTTTGTATATCAATTTAAAAACACATTTTTGTTTGGATTTTACTAAAAAAAAGAGGAGAAAAAGGAGTTGATCAAAGGCATGAAAAAAGTAAATTTGCTGTTTGCAAGGACACTCAAGCCTTGGGAGCCATTTTCTCCCTACTTTTATTTTTAACATCAGGTGACCCCAAAATCCTTCAATCAGACATCTCAACTGCTATTCAAGACACACTTAAGGGGTTATGTACACGATACGAGGAATTTTCTAGAGGTTTGACTTTCTTCCAATTTTTAAAGGTGATAAAGGCTGATTATAGACTAATTAGAAGAATCATGATGGAATTTGTCAAGTTTTATGAAAAAGTTGGTCTCTGTGGCGGCCATCTTGGATTTTTGGCCATGTTGCGGGGGGAATCGTTTTCCACAGAAAATATTAAAATTCAAATCTCAAACTTTACACACATATTAACAAACAAATTATCTGTGATCATAGGCTTTGATTTTTTTCTTATCATTAAAAACAACAAAAATATTGATATATCACTGGACCAGCACCGAAAAAAACGAGTATGACGTGAAAAAAATCAGGAATATTTTAAAAAGTAATCATTATTTCACAAAATCCCCGCCTATGATCACAGAACTTTCTATACAGCTCCTGTGTGCGAAATTTCAAACATGTAGCTCTGATAGTTTCAGAAAAACGATTTCCCCCACGCAGTCACCATAGTGAAAAAGTACTTTTTGAGAAAAACGAAAAAAAAGATTGGAAAACGTCAAAGTTTAAAAATCTATTGCCTTGAACGCAATAAATAGGATATTTTTTAAACGTTGGCACATTTTTCTGACGGAACTTATCAGGCTATTGATGGTTCATTTTCTTCAGAAGTTAGCATTCCAAAACAAGCTCTCATGACTATCTTCATTAATCTTTAGTCCCTTCCCTTGACCAGTTACGTACAAATCAGAGGAATCATTTAGTGACATTCCGAGATAACGTCAACACACAGTGCGTGCGTGCGTGTGTATGTACATTAATTGGTTATGTCTGTGTATGTATGTATGTGTGTGTGCATATATATGCGTGTGTGTGTGTGTGTGTGTGTGTGTGTGTGAGAGAGAGAGAAAGAAAGAGAGAGAATGAGAGAGAGAGAGAGAGAGAGAGAGAGAGAGAGAGAGAGAGAGAGAGAGAGAGAGAGAGTAAAACGTATCCCAATTATGACGGAATTCAAACAAGTGCTCACATTTTAAAAGCCGTAGACAGCACAGTAAATCAATTTAGCAAAATGAGGACTATACTTGTGGATTAAGTTTTACGAAGTCATAGAAGAGAGTCCCACTGTTCTTACAGAAGTTCTGGGCTGTCAAAGAATGTGCTCTGCCTGGCGGCAGTCACGAGAGCAAGTCTCCTTTGCTTGGCGTTGAAACGTGATTTATTACCTTCTGGCACTGCTCACGCAGATTTTGTCGAGCAAGGTGTTTAACGTTTTACCTCAGTTCACAAAGGAGGGAAAATGTCTGACCACACATCTAATCTTGAAGTCTCTAAGGTAGTCCCATTGTTGGAAGTCCATGGGCTCAGGTAGGAATACCGTCAAGTTCTGACACAACGTTTCCCGCGACTTTTGTTGAAGTGACTCTGGTTCCACTCAATGACCGCAGCTGCAGGGTGCAGAGCTGCTCTCTCTTGCTAGAACGACTGATGTTTCCGCTCCTGATGTCCCACAACATTTTGTCTGTCATCTTCGCAACAGATTCAATATCTTCAGACAACGATCTGCTGTCACTGTTACGGCACCATTGTCTTCAACCATGAACCAGCCCGGACCCCTAATTCTGTACTGACTCGATTCAACCCACGCTGTAGCATTCTGTGTGTGTGTGCAGGTTTCGGTAAACAACGTTGTCTGTTTTTTCTAAACTCAAGTAAATGTGATTTCTTGGATTCACGTCTACGTTCAGATAGAAGTGGACTTCATCGCCAAACCACTTTTTCCATGAATGAAAAGGCCTATTATTAGCACGGCACATAAAAAAAAAAAACGATCGGCACATTTTGATCCATTCCCTGATGTGTTCACATGAAATACCTTTGTGTATCAAAATATGACATGCCTTCAAATGGAGAATGTGTCTCAAAATTTCTGTAAACAAAAAAGTATGAAAGGTGGAGCTCAACTGCGACGACTACGACGTACTGATGTCTGTGACGTGGTCTCTTCAGAAGGCCGAACGGCGTCAATGTTCTCGGCCTTGCACAAATTTACTGTTATGTCGTTCACCCTTCCTTTGTCGGACACAGACACACATGACAGGCCCTTTTAAAATCTACTTACCGTCCAAGGATAGTTTTGTTTCAGGGAAAATTGCATCCCATCCGATTGTTGACATTCGACGATGAGATTTTTGTACATTATGTGAGATGTAATCTGCATGTTTCAACTCACTCACTTTCAAGTGTGATATCGATCATGCAACAGTAACTGTCGAGAACTTTTGCTTGAATTGCACCAGAGTTGGGACAACAGATACACACACACACACACACACACACACGCACGTGCGCACACACAGAGAGAGAGAGAGAGAGAGAGAGAGAGAGAGAGAGAGAGAGAGAGAGAGAGAGCATTCCGGTTTCTGTCGTGTGACAGGCGGTCCTCTCCCTCTGTCTCATGCAGGAGACCCGAGTCCGATTCACAAGTGGAGAGAATTTTATCGAGTATCCCCATCAGCCCAGGTTGGCCCTGGCATACACAGTGGGAAGCCTGCCCCCTAAATGATCTAAATTGTGTCAACGGGGTCGTAAAACATATCCAGTAAAATTTAACTTTTCTTCAGTGCTACATATATATATTATTATGAACATGAAAAGAGCAGAATATAAATATACAAAACACAGGAATACATACAGATAAAGAGAGAGCAAGAGAGAGAATGGGGAGAGAGAGAGAGAGAGAGAGAGAGAGAGAGAGAGAGAGAGAGAGAGAGAGAGAGAGAGGGTGTAGGGGATGAGGAGAAGGTGGAAAGCAGAAGAGAGACGGATGGAGAGATATACCAAGAACCCCCTTCCCCTCTTTTTCTCTCCATCGTCAACACGCTCCTGTAGCTATAGAGCTACATTTGGCTAAGTCTACTAGCTTACTGGCACAGTGAGTACTCTATAGATGAGATCAAAATTTGAGAAAAAAAACTGAATCGCAGCTAGTTGTAGGGTAAGCCAGTAAGAGTACATGAAAATGCAAGTTCATTCTTTTGTTCAAACAACCCCCGCTGTCCTTCCGCACATTTTCTATTACTCATTGGTACAACCATGGAACAGAACCAGACATTGAACGCGCCTCGAACACGTGCTATGATTGGAGTATGTGTAAAAAAGGCCTCTTATTGGGGACCCGAAAGTGACACCGTGTTTCCGATAGGTCACACATGCTATTGCAGAGAATGATCTACAGTACGCACAATCATTGCCCCTCCCCTCCCCAGTGGACCAATCGTGGGATGCTTGGATTAAAGTCGTTCGTAGATAGTTAAAAATGGGGAAGGTATAAATACCACATATCACCGCATATCACTAAATACCACCGCACATCGCTAAATATCACCCCCATGTCACTAAATATCAACGCACATCGCTGATATCACCGCATACCACCAATCACCAATCTGACTCTCTCTTTGTCTGTGTTTCTCTCTTTTTCTCTGTGTCCGTGTGCATCTCTCTCTCTCTCTCTCTCTCTCTCTCTCTCTCTCTCTCCCCCCCCCCCTCTCTCTCTCTTTTTCTCTGTGGGACTCTCTCTCTTTCTCAAAAGAACAAGAAATGCCTTCCAAAAGCTATTTATTTATAAAACTCCCTCCCTCCCTCTCTCCCTTTCTCCAGTCTCTCTCTCTCTCTCTCCCCCTCCCTCCCCCCCTCTCTCTTTTTCTCTCTTTTTCCCACGAATTGAGGTCTTGAAAATAATGTGGGGGTCTTGAAAAAAAATTTCCAGGATTTGGTGGGGATCCTGCAGTTAGTGTTCCACAAGCGCTCGTAAATTCACGATTCTATGAAGCCGACTGAATCGCGAATTTCCACTCTCAGTCTCAGATTTGGTGACCTGGGTCAAGCTCTTGTCTGGAGCACCCCCCCCCCCCTCCTCCCCCCTGTTTTACTGTCATGGCATATGGTACACACAATAGGAACTAACCAACACCAATGTTGCACTAGGCACATTTTTATCTCTATTTAGTTATGTGCTGTGATATTTAGAGATGTGCGGGGATATTTAGTGATGTGCTGTGATGTGCGGTATTTATACCATTCGTGAAAAAAACACAGACTCATAGCTCTGACCTACTCGTAGGACAAACTGTCACGCAAGGTTCGAGGTGCTTTGAATTTCTGTTTGATGCGTATGAGGTTATTAAAATTTGTTGAAATGGATGAGTAAAAATCCAAGGATTTCTTATTTTTTTCCGAGAGTCCGATGTCGGTGGTCCATAAAAAAGGTATTCGTTTTCAGGTACAGTGCATTGGATTGGTTTTTCTTTAATTAATATATCATCGCTGTAGTTAATGCTGATCCAATCTCTAAGCTTTGCATTTCTTTTGAAAAGTGTGCTTGTTAGCTCTTGCATTTTCATACGAATAAGCCAGCTTATGGTTAGCTGACTGTGTTTATGAATGAACGCAATGCACAAACAATGACCAATGTAATACTGCAAGCTTCACCGGGACTACACTTTTCAACACTACAACTACTAGTATCTCATAGCCCACAAGAAGTTCATCAAGGATCACTGAACTCATTTTAGATTTTAGACAATAACGCAAAGAGCCCCAAGCACTATTAGTATGAGGTTTTGAGATATCATACGATGCTTTCACTTTACTCGCTGTGTGACAAATATAAATACAAAATGCAAACACATAACCAACATTATTGCAACACACTCTCTCTCTCTCTCTCTCCCCTTTCCTTTTCTTTCTTTCTCTCTCTCTTTTTTCACTATCTCCTTTTCTCTCCCTTTCTTTCTCACTCTTTTTATCCATCACTCCTTACAAAATAATGAAACAATATGGGAAATGTAAGGTAAAACACGGGGAATAAACGTGAAATAAAATGTAAAATGTGATTATGAGAGTGAAAACTACTTCTAAGATCGTACCACACATTAGCCTGCATCTTCAAAGAGAGGAACTCGGATTACTTGCTTTGTGGGCTACACAAAAATCAAGAGGGTTCAGAAACAGAACTAAATCTCGTCAAATACAAAAGCGAATCACATGGTTCAGTCAGTGAAAGGAGTGATGGATAAAAAGAGTCAAACGGCTGTCGAATTGAAAGAAGAAACAGCGGTGATCGTAAAATACTGTTGGAGGTTACATGTCGCGCGGCATTCTGCAACGGAGTATTGACGTCATTTTATTTATTTTTAGAAACGGGGATTAGTTTTGTCAAAGACAACCCAAAATTTGCTAGACGACGAGTCCTCCGTTCTGCACCTGGTTGTTCAACTGCCAAAAATACACAGATCTTGATCGTCCTGGTCGTTTAGGGATTTGAAAGAAGAGGAGCTTGGAAGAACAACGATACTAAACATGATAGGGTCATACGGGGGAACACGGTAGTTGTCGCGGTCAAATAAAGGGCTAATCTGAAGAAAACGCGCCAACTTTTGACTAAGGATGCCCTCTGGAAAAAGCCTATAAATGAGAATTCTTGACTTTTTTATAATGAAACATCAAGCGTTATCGATTCTTTAGATAGTCAGGTAACCAAAAATGGAGAAAGTTAAAAATCGATTTTTTGACCCAAACATCGGGTTTTGCAGACCCGTGACATGCCTTAACATTTTTTTCACCTAAAGCAAGACAAAAAAAATTAATGAACAAGCTTTTTTAGCTTAACCAATAACTCCTTATGCCCAAAAATTGATGAGCACCAGATTCCACCAATAATAAAAATAATAATAGTAGTAGTAGTAATAATTGCCTGATTCTCTGCGGGTTGTGTTCATTTACATGTGCTTGTATAAAAGTCTACTGAGAAAAAACATTGCACAAAAGAAAGCCCTTCGGACAACCTCTATCTAAAATCCAATGGCGCACGTGTACTTGATTTCACTGTACTGATGTGGCCCATGTTGCGCATGTTCCAGGGCAACGGTTTTACAGAGAGTGAACAGGGGTAGTCAGGCCCACTGTGAGGAGCAAGCCCATGGTTCACAAACTCACAAAACACATTTTAGAACTATGTTCATAGTCTGTACAACATTTTCAAACATGTTCTAGGGTACAAAAAACTTAATGCTGACCAACTTCTTGGACGGGAAAAATTAATGTCCACCTCTGACATAATCCAGTCATCTGGCTAATACAAGAAAACTAGGAGCAATATCTACAAAAGCCTTCTTCCTGTCGTTAACATTAGACTTCTTTTCTGAGGCAGCAATAGATATAACGTGGGTATGTTTGTACACATTTCAATTCAGATTATTGCAGGCAGACAATCTCTCAACACCAACAAATATTTTCTGGGAGATGAAACTATTTCAAGAAAAGTTTTTAAAATAATATGTAACAGGGGTACAAAGAAAGAGTCATCCCACAGCCCACAACAAAACTGTCACTGTGAGGACAAGTTTACAAAAAACATGAGCGAGATAGGCACAGTTAACAAATTCAAAGAATGATTTTAAACAATCACATTGTTCACAACTACTGACCTTCTTTTCATTCTCAGAAATCAACTCAAAGCCCGGCATGCTGTTGTTCACTTCCTTGCGAGGTTCCGATGTGCTTCCCTCATCTTTTTCTACAATTTTTTCGACGTTTTCTTCTGAAGAAATATCCATTTTTTCTAACCTTCCGCTGAAAGCAAACAATAAAAATATAAAATTAAGAATCAACATTTCCGCACAAATTAAGCACAGCAAGCTCAAGCCACCACAACACCACTACATGAGGAAAAAAGGTCACAGGTCAGTTGAGGTCAGTTCGTTTTTCTAACAACAAAGATTGAGAAGAGGGGGCACTAGCTACCCAGAACACCCATTGTCTTTTTCAAACTGTCTCAGACTGTTATTGCAAAAGAAAAGTAAGTAGAACTAAGCAGCTATTTTTCCAAAGCCCAGACTTTTGTGTGCTTATAATCAAGAGGTTTATTTGAATTTGAACAGAGTGCCAGCCTCAAGATTGTTACGCCGATGCATCCCTGTCTAAACCAAACATCCACATGACAGAATTTTCACCTCAGCCGACTTCCAAACCATGAAGAACTTTCAACAATGTTTTGAGGACTGCCTATTGAAAATTAAATTGCGAGGCCTTTGCCGACTACGCTAACACCATCCATTCCTTTCAAATCCCCATCATCCTAGTCTGCTCTGCATTTTCCAAGTGTTTAGGCAACAACAACCCTTCAGCATCATAAAAGAAAGTAAGCATGCTTCTTCCCTAAAAGACTCAAAAGCAGTCAAAAGGTCAACTAGAGCAACTATCCTTTCTCCAGACCACATGAAAGCATGCGTATGCACACATGCACACACTAACCACTCTTTTCAGACACAAACATGGCTTTTCATTTTAAATTAACTTTTGTGTGTGTATGCCCATAAAATTTGAAAGCTTAACCGACTCTTCTAAATATATAACAGGATTCCACTTTACTTTGGGGTGGGGAGGAGAGAATGACTCATTAGCTTATAAATACATGGAATATTTTTTTTCTCAACAAAAATTTTATTTTTTTTATCAATCAATCAATGCATAAAAAATAAAAAGTCCCCTATTTCAAACATATTCTAGGAATAGAGTACAGAGGAAAATAAAGTTTGGTGACGGAGCGGTCAGTGCGATCGTCTCCGAAGCGGAAAGTCCGGGTTCGAGCCTCAGTTCGGACACAGATTTTTTCCGCCCCCTCCTGCCCACCCAGCAGTAATGAGTATCCGACTTCAGTTAAGGCGGTGTGGAAAGGAACTGGCCACCCTACCACAATATGCCGAAGGCCCAGGAAGTTGTTTCACTAACAAGGCAATCCCCAATGTCCGGATTAGATACGGGAACAACTTTTACTCAGAAAACAGTATCTGGGAAGCAATGCCATGTGAAGAGGGTCAAAGAGGAAATGATTGAAAAAAGTAAGAAAAATGAGATAAAACAGGGAGGGAGGGAGGGAGGGAGGGAGGGAGGGAGGGAGGGAGAGGGAGAGGGAGAGGGAGAGGGAGAGGGAGAGGGAGAGAGAGAGAGAGAGAGAGAGAGAGAGAGAGAGAGAGAGAGAGAGAGAGAGAGAGAGAGAGAGAGAGAGAGATGTGAGGTAATATACCACAAGAAATGTACAGATCAACATACTCTGCTTTTTTGGAGACTTGGGAACTCCGCTTTGGCACAGCAGACAATGCCTGGATAGAAAAATATAAATTCATTATTATTTTCCTGCAATCCAGTGAGCCAGAGAAAATCCCTATAAAGAAAAAAGTTAAAAAGCAAAAGAATTCCTTTTAAATGTGGCAGTCCATACTGAAAATTCATTAAAAATTATGAATTATTTATTAACTATGCTACAGTGATCTTTATTAGGAAGCATTCACTGTACTTTCAGACAGCAATCCCACCCCCCCCCCTCCTCCCCCCCTAATGTGCGGTGCATTTTGTGGGGTCTCACGAGAGCCAAAAATGTTTCGAGGGGGTTTTTTTGGACAATTTTGTGAGGTAGGAGCACTGACCGACAGGAATCATTTTTATTTCAAAAAAGCTTTTTTTTTTCTTTCAAAAATATGAAGGGAGATGTTTATAAAGTTCAATTTCTTGAAGAATGCTTCGCAGCAAGTAGTATAGACAGCATTTGTGGAGATTTTTCCGGCAATTAGATCAAAACATGTATAAAATAAAAGGCCAGAAAACTGACCCCCAAAATATAGATGTTTTTCAAGGTATACATTTACTTTATTAGGTGTCCTTTTTACTTGTTCATCTATAATGTCTTTTGCGAAAATCATCAGAAAGGCCACAACTATAGTAACTGTTTGTTCAGGGATGTTTTACCTAACTTAACTCCTTTTATCCGCCAGGTCGGAACCACTGTGCTGGTGAGCCGATGGCAGCGGCTAGGGCACCTTCCTTTACATCTTCGATGTCAAATTACTTTTCAGCAATTAAAAAAAATTTGTCTTTTACCAGGGGTTCATTCATTAGGAAAAGAACTATTGAAACAGGTTTACCTGTTTTTATTTAATGATCCATTAAGTGATGTATATATGTCAATTTTAGATTCCGTACCACGAAGGCCCCAGCACAGTGGGTTTACCCCCCCCCCCCCCCCTCCGAAATAAGGAGTTAATTTGCTCTTGAGAATTTTTAGAACCAAAAAAATGTTAAAATATTGTGATTTACTTGGTGGAAACAAAATTTTCATTAAAAACTTTTTCACACACAGAAAAAGATCCCAGTACTAACTACAGCCATGTCATTGCTTATAATTTTCTAGAAACTCATACGGGTCAGGGACAATTCAACAATGAAAAAATCTGAAAGAAGACAATAAATAAATCATATTCTCTTTTCAGAAAACAAGGTAAATGATTATCATACTAATTTTCTTTGGCAATTTTAGAGTTTTTATGATAGTGTTTTTTAAAGGGTCAAGATTGCCAAAATAGTTAAACATTTTCAGTGTGTACTGCCACTTTAATATGCACCTAATAGGTGTTAACGATCACCCTAATCTCTCTCCGAAAAAACACCATTTGCAAGTATAAAAAAGAGTCTAAAAACGAATAGCAGAGGAAATCAAGTTTATGAACCATGTCCAAACCATCAATGTTAATGCTCATTACAAAAATATCACCCATTATGGTGAGTTACTTGATTAAGACTTGGCGGGGTTGAATGAATCTCATATAATAATACTTCTATTCAATGGCACCAAATATTTCTTACAGGCTGAAACAAAACAGCTTCAGGTGCATGGTAGATCCATGAAAAAAGGAAAAGACAAAAGCAAAAGCAAAATTGGTCGCTTTTAAGGACAAGAGGGCTAACCCAAATTTCTGGGGTTTTCAGAAATCTTGACCTACACCAAAAGCGGGCATTGCCCTACCTATAGGAAAAGTTTGGATTCATTGGTGTGCATATTTGCTTGGTTATAGAGAAAACTCTCCTTATTTTTTAATGAAACTGAACAAGGGGAAAAAACTTTACCTTCGATTTTCTCAAAACAGCATTTTTCGGGATAGCTCACTTATCCTTAAAAGCGACCAATTAGCTCTAATACTAATACTCAAAATCAACAACAATAAAACAAAAAGACTACCAAAAAATCTATGACAAGCTACTTTTTAGAAAGAAAGCAGATCAATTGAAACTTAAAAGACAAAAACAACATTGTCTCAAAAAGGTAAAAATTGAAATGAATGTATTTGCACAATGGACAAGGCAGCATACTCAGAATATTGAAAAAGGGCAAAGTGCAAACGGATGATACACAACAGTGCTCCACATACAGTACTGACGAACAGACCATCCCTGAGAATCAAATACTCACCCACAACCAAACACAGAAAGACACAGTGTTTCAACCAGTTTAAAGTAGTCATTGATAATGAAACTGAAATATAACCCCAAAGCTAGGGGACAGATTTATTTACATCATCTTGGTGGGAGATGGGACCATTCACTACCGATGGTATCTTTTTTTGTGTGTGTGTATGTGTGTGTGTGTGCGCAAAAAGTTCATTTCATATGACTGCAGAAATAAGCACATAAACTTTACTTGTTCGAGTAGTTGAGAGTTTCATTTTCAAAAACAACAACCAGTTGTGTAATGCTTATACAATCACTAGATACATAGATACACATGAAGGTCACAATATGAAATGAAAAGGCAGGTATGCCACAAGCGAGCCCCAATGCAGCACTATATGTCAACACTTGAAAGCATGACTTATGCCACGTGGCAAAACTGGCATTCAACGATGAACATGGATAAGCAGTACATATTTACTGTATTGTTGCAAATTTAAAATCACTCTCTAATCCACCACATACATTAACCATACTTTCTTGTCATGGATATAAGACGAGACAATGAGTATCCTGCTGATAGTGGTGGATTGGTCTCGAATTTCAGACTGTCTAAAATGTAAACTTGTGCCAAATTTTCCCCTTTGTGGCAGCAAGGAATATGACTCGATGATGATGATGTGATAAAAGCCACACACAAAATATGAACCATCACAGCAGCAGAAATGACACTCATATCTACAAGGTATGCAACAAAAGCCGGGAGACCTCAATCCGCATGACATGCATGCTTTTGGGAACAAGCACTCTGAAGTTGAAATGAGTCCTAATTGCAATTCTTTTATTTTTTCATAGACTTGACATGGTTCATAAACTTTTACATGCATTTTAAATTTTTCATTTTATGTTAGAAAGGCCTACTGACAAAATTAAAATGACAGACCTAGTGTGTATTGGGGCTCCACATTGGCAGTCTATTTTTAAAATAAAATTTCACTTACGATTTCTGGGCCTTAGCAATTGTGCTGCGAAGAGTGCACTCACCATCTTTTTCTTATTCTCTTTTCTTTTTTCTCTCTTAAACTTTTCCTCTTCATATATCTCCTCATCTGTCAAACAAAATAATTCATGTTCAAATTAATTTTCTACCTTTTGACATTGCACCTTTTCAGACAGGGTACACTTGATGACATACATAAACATATATGTACGAAATCCAAATGGCTATGCCACAAAAATAATCTGACAATAAACAAAAAGAGCAAATTGAACTGAACAGCTAATATTCTCCTCACATTGCCTTCTCTGCTTTCCAATGCACACTTTTAATTGCAGGAGCCTGTGGGGTCAGTGCCAATGTAAATGTCTTTTCAAGGACTAGATGCAATCACATAAACTCGAAAAGCTTCACAATTGAAAACAGTGACTATGATATGACTGGAACAACTTTGCAAGACAAAAATAAAGTTGACTTATAAACTATTTTGTGTCTTAAACAAAAATTGCTTTAAAAAAGTACAATATTTTCAAAGTCAATTTAATAATAGAAAGATAATTGTGAGTACCATCCTCTATATCTTTCTACAAACAAGTACAGTCAAACCTGCCTTAACAGAAACCTGTCCAAGACAGAATCTCCCTGCTCCCCTTTGACAAATTCCTCTATAATGCATCTGTGTAAGATTCTCAACCTGGAAACGGAAGGAGAAATCCCTACCCTTCAGAGAAAATTGATCTGTTGAAGACTGAAAATGCTTTGCCCTCTCTGCATCATTTGGTTCCATCGGTTCTAACCTCTACACCACACTGCCAAGCGAGGAAGGGAGAATATGGGTGAGGTTTGAGAGTAGCTGATACCATGTGAGCCCCAAGCAGTGCACATGGTGGGACTAGAGTGGGTGTGAAATCTCAACACTGCTTGTGAAAAAGCTCAAGTGCCTCTCTAGCATGGAATCTTTCCCAGGTTGCCAAAGGTGTGAAATTAATTTTACTGTCTGCCATCCTGGTCGTATGACTAGCCCTAATAAAAGTCCCTTGAATTGTCGTTAAATGCAGGGAGGAGTGGCATTGGTTGAGAGTGCTTATTATTTCAATGGGTGGGGCTAAGGGTCGGATCAATCTTTCTTTTGTTTTTAATTTGGTCAAACGGTGGTCCTATGAAATGCAAACACACGTGGCAATGAATAAGTAAGGCTGACGCATGCCCTTAGAGGCTAGGAGATAGCACTTAGGAGGTGTGAAGTTTTGACCTCTGCTTGTCAACCTGACAGTCAACAACAACCCCCCCCCCCCCCCCCCCATATTCCCCTGTCAAAGACATAATTATTTTCCATTTTTTTCCCTGGCTCCTTTGTGCGATTCTGTCTTGGTCTTGTCTTGGGCAGGTTCGACTGTATTAATTAATCTACTGTATTGCCTGTTACTTGCTTCATCCATAATGACCAGTCCAACTTTAAATCCCTGTGAACTTCTCTTTATTAGACAATCGCTGGTCTAAATACAGTGCTTCCACCAGCTGAAGCTGAAAAGTAAGGAAAATTCTGCCGGAGGTCTGGGGGCGAAGCCCCCAAAGAAATTGAAATTTAGTACTTTTAGAGGGTTGAAAATGGCATTTAGGAGCCTGTTTGAAGAGATTGCCAACAACCCATACTACCTATTTTTTCACCAAGATTTTGTCTTTTGTTTGAATTCTTCACACATATCTTACCATTGCTGGCAATGTTTAAAAGCAGGTTCCCCTTCCATTGCTACTATAATTCAATTAATTTGTGATCGCACCATAGATAGAAGAAGGCAAACCTGGGAATAATGAATAGATATATGTACCTTCACAATACAGTTACCCAGTGTATACCCTAACTTTCCTCAATTTTCACGACTGAATGTCGCATGTCACAACCTCGGAACACCACTTCGAATTATTCTTGATTTTAGTAGTTTTAGCACAAATTTCTTTCATCGCGGCCCTTCTTATCGCGTTCCCGTGCCGTAGAATCTTCGCACTGATAATTTCTCTTGATCTAGACAATAAATTTGCGAAAAAGTTTCTTTCTGACATTAATTTTTTAAGATCACAAGTCAACATACTTGATCAACGTGCAGATTTTCCAGCCGCGGCAACAATCCGAAGATAGACAGATGGAATGAGGGAAAGATAGAAAGGAGGAAAGCGGCACAAAAAGGTCGCCAGATTTTGATCAATCTGCAGGTTAAAAAAATGTACTGCTGACCAACCCGCAATGAAAGCAAGGGGCAGAGCGGATTAATGGCCGATGGCAGGAAATGCGCAATCAGGTAGGTTTCTATACCGTAACAAACTATTGCCGAGAGAATTACCGTAAAATATCCGTAACTTATACTATACAAGACGATACGAAGGTGAGTACAGGTCTTTTGCTACAGAATTTCAGTAGTCCTACGCTGTCGCAGATTTTTACAGAGGGAGTTGACAATGATGGAGGAACAAGTACGAAACTGGTAGAAAGTATGGATTTCCGTAAAAATACGGAAGAGTGGAAGCACTGTAAATAGGACTCTGTCCCCAAATTAGAACAGTCACTTCACTAATTTCGCATTCATTCATTAACGAACAATCTTTAGACATGATCTTTTCTTACTTTTTTTACAAGGATCTCTTGTATCAAACTGATATTAATCACATTTTCATATTAAGAACAGGACTTGTGCAGCATCACTTACTGGCCAGTGGATAGGACAAGAGTGAAGAGCAATTAAGAGAATAAAAATGCCAGCAAATTCTTAGACTATGACTATCACTTCTAAGGAAGTACCTACTGATTTCCTTTTATATAATCTCACTTGTTGCTTCCTCTCAAATCTAACGAGTGCTTCATGTTAAACAAAGACAACTACATATTCTGAGGCCCACAAAATGCTACAACATTTATCGTGAATGAAAACAACATATTTTACCTTGTATAGCTGTACAACATCTAATTTGATTTTATCTTTGTTTTTTCTTTAAGACAAATTTATATATTAACGCTCTATACTTTTAAATCTCAATACCACTGTATTATAATTGAAAATTTTAAACTTAAAAGCAAGGAAAGAGGTAAAAACTAAAAGAAAAATATCACCTTCAAGCTTTGTGATGCCATTTTTCCGTAACCGAATGAGCTCTTTGATCCGTGCTTTCGTTTCTTTTTCCCCTAAAGAAAGAGCCAATATATAAACATTTATATACAATATCTACATTAGTAATATGTGTGTTGTCACTTTACGCTCAAATATAAAACCAATTTTTAAAAATATATGAAAATGGTGAAATGGTATAGGGTTTAACGCCTCTATCTACACTATAAGGTTATTTAAGAGGCAGGACCTCCAAGTTTAACATCCATCTCGAAAACAACTGAGCCAAATGGAAAATTTATGTAAAGTGCCTTTCCCAAGGTCACAAATTGGACTGAGCTGAGGCAATCTCATGATTGTGAGTCCAATAGTCTAACCACTAGGCCACCGACGCCACTAAAAGAAAAATAAAGTTTATGAAGAAATTCCAATTGAACTATAAATACTTTGCTTGCCCAAGCTAGAATTTGATGGATTACAGATCCACCGTTACTTTCCAGTTTAGAACTCATAAGTGAAATTTAAGTTGACCCCAAGAAATTCTCGAGGTCATAGGGTCAGCCCACTGACATGTCTTCAGCTGAGCTTGTTAAATTTTGGTTTTTCAGCATTAACTTTAAGATGTTCAGAGATTTTCACTGTAATTATGATTTCATAAACTCAGGACATGAAATTTTGCTTTCAAGACTAAAAAAGAAAAGGAAACTGCTTCTCTGGATATTTCACAATATGTTCTTGAAGTTGGCCATGTAGTTTTTACAAAGGCCGAGAAGAAAAATAAAAATTAAAGAAACAGCTTGCCAAAACTTGCTGTACTTTGCCAGTTTGAACAACAGAATACAGATGTTTACATCCATAGTCTTCATATGCTTAGACAATAGAATGCAGTATTTCTACACATTTACGCTGAGTAGATAAAATGTATCTGACATTTTCCTTAGTGCAATGTGATTTCTTAAACTATACCTAATATTTCCAACATAATCCCAGTTTTCTTTATATTTAAACTAAAGATTAACTTCATAGGCACAGGTGAGAATGCTTTGTTGGCTTAACATTACTTAGCTGTGCAAATGAAGGAAGGGTGCAATGCTTCCGGGTAAACAGTATTTGTGAGGCATCGTGGTGAAATAGGGCGCTTGCCAAAATAAGAAAACTGAAGAAAACTGCATTTTCCCATTGGTTTTACAATTTTGACAGAATTTCTGTTTTTTGGCTCAACACCTTTTATAGCCATTAAAAACACATTTCTGCATTGATATTACAGAAATATATTAATTAAAGGCACAAAAAAAGTAAATTTTCCAAATTATCTTAGTTGCTTAACTTTGGTGGACATTTTTTTGCTTATTTTACCTCTGAAACCAGGTGACCCTCACCTTCTTCATTCGCAAGTATCTCGACTTCTATTCAAGATAGTTGGGTAATTTTCCCCCCAAAGGCAAGACTAAGGAACAAGCTTTAAGATGATACCAATAACTCTAAATGCCCAAAAATTAACGAGCACCCGATTCCACTGCTCTGTGATGGCCTCAAATACAATAGCCTGATGCACAGTTTACTCCTCAATAAGTATACTCAGCTTTTTTTTTTTTACCTTTGATTCTCCTGCCACTGACAGCCACTTATCACTTTAAAATAATATATTCTGCGTTCTGATACATACAAACTGAGAATCCATATCTAAGTTAACGATATTAAATGCCTATCCAATACACATGACATTTATCTCTGGCTCTTATTATACATTTTATTTTATATAACATGATTTTGTTATTCTAGATCTATATTGAATGTAGACTGCGAAAGATGTGACCTAATTCATGACTGAAAACAATCTCTCTCTCTCTCTCTCTCTCTCTCTCTCTCTTTTATGCATTTATTTGGGAAAAGAGCTTGTAGACTCAAATTATCATTCTTGGTGTGTATCAATATAACAATCTAAGCAGATTTGTGGTTTCACAAGTGGATAGATACTTCATTGATTGCCAGTTTCCTGTTGAGTTTGCATTAAAAATACTTACTTTTGATGTTGTCAAACAGCATGTGGTGTTCAGCCATAGAATGAAACTGTGAGAAAGGTTTTAACCGCTCTTGTAATTCCCTGAAGAATAATTTTAAAAAGAAACAAAATATTATCAATGTGTTCTCCTGACCACTTTGCTCTCAACAAGAAATTCGGGATGCTTGGAATTCATCATGACCACTCAGCATTTAGTCCAACTAGATTCTTTTTTCTCCTATCACTGCTACTCATTCCAAGTAGCAGTTTTCATTTTTTTAAAATACTTTTAGTTTCATCAACAGATAGATCTTTACGATACAAAGCACAAATAGAAGACACCTAACAGACTCAGGTAGATTAATATTGACTATTGATAGTTGTTAAAAAAAAGACATGCAAGGCGCTGGTGGACTGCATTGACATTGTGACATCACAAATAAGCCAACCAAGAAGAGCATCGCCAGCTCAGCAGGCTTGCTTTTTCATGATGGCACAAACGAGCAGGGTCTTGCTCAAGCAGTGTACAGATCAACTCTGCCAGCCCACATCATGATAGAACAAGCGATTTGTTTATTCGCTCGTTATTGGAGGGCACTAAAAACTATCCCTCGTTTATTCACAAATAAAAATTTTTGCTGGCAAAACTCAACATTGCCTTACAGCCCCAGTCATGAATATTTCCCTAACAGGTTCTCATTACCCCCAGCCTAGCAGCTGCCCATTTCAAACCCAATCATATCTGTCCAATCTAACCAATTGTCTCTGTAAAATATTCTTCACGTTATCTTCTAAAACTTCCAGCAAAAAAGGTTAAGAAATTTTTTGTCAGCAACTAACTGGGCCTTAGGGGTCAAGGACTCCAGTATTACCTGGGCCAGAGGGAAGTACAGGCTAAAAATAGCCCTGTGCAACTGTTGTTAACGGAGAACAGCTTCTCAAGAAGAACAGATTTCAACATAGAAAATATAATATAAATCAATACTCGCAGGGTATATGTGAGGTGTTTTGACAAAATCAAGTTACTTCTCACAATCCTTGAATGCAGACATCAGCCAAAAATGGACACTGGGGGCAAATTTGTAAATTTTCATTTAAAAAATAACATGTCTTTTATTATTTCATTTTTATAAATTGTACAAACTCCACCGCGAAGCAACTCATTTTGTCAGCACGCTTCATGAGAGTATTTCTGACATATTTATCCTTCAATGTTCTCAGACAGAAATGTGTGGTGAGCTAAGAACTATCTAGTACTGACTCCATGTCAAAACCAGAGAAAAGAAATTGGTACAATATAGTAGTACGGTTCAAAATAAGCAGAAGAACAGGATGGGTGAGAAAACACAATATTTTAGGTGGGAAAAGAGACGAAACAGAACGCAAATTCTGTGTCAATTTACATAGAGGTGAACGTGAACAACATTGATCAGAATGTGGGGAAAAAAATTTACCTTCCAGTCTTTCCCGATTTCTTTTTTGTATGTGGTGTTTTGAGGACTTTAGAGATGGGAGGAGCACCAGCAGAAATCAAACCATATTCTCTTGCTATCCTTTTCCGTCTGTCCCTCTCCTGTAATCTCAGTCTGTATTTTGATATCTGTGCAAGTTTTATTGCTATGGAAAAAATAAAGTATTAATCAATATGACCCTTTACACCGTCAGTAAATTATACTGAAGCAACACATACTCTAAGGTTTCGAATAAGCCCCCCCCCCTCACCCCTTATTAATTTTCAGTTTTTTGCGAACCCCCCCCCCCCCCCCCCCCCTTTTAAAATTAATTTTCAGTTTTTTTGCGCACCCCCCCCCCCTATTCCATACTCCTGTTTATTATTTTCCAGCTTGCCAAGACCGACGATCATAAGAAATATTATATCTAGATCTAGGTTTTTGTCGCATAGCACTGAAGCCACCTGAATCGAACGATAACCTACTTTATCATGATGCCCGACAGCTTACTAGATCTAGGCCTACTCTCGGCGTGGCCCGTGGCTGCGGGGTTTCCGCGAGCTGGCTAAACTACAGTTCGAAAGGAATGGCAGAAAGAGCTGGTTTCCAAGATAATCAACTTGCATTTCTTTTATATTAATAATGTTTTGTTTTACTGACGTCCACTGAATGAAACTTTTTTCTTTCATAATGGCAAATTACCCTCATTATTGGTACCGGTACCGGGTTGGCTACCTCAATTTTCTATGCATTTTTAAAACTTGTACATTGGTTTATATTTTTTTATGAAACTGGTTAATTCCCAAATGGGAAAAGTTGGCACAGTAAGATCACTAAAATTTCAAGATCTCTTGTTCTTTTATTCACTGAAGTAGAAAAAAACACAGATTTGTTCCTACTTGTACAGGGGTATGAGGTTGAATGGTTTTTTTTATAAATTAATTCTGGACCACTTGACCACCTCCTCCCCTCCCCTGTTATTAATTTTGGACTTCTCCCCCCCCCCTTATTCAATACCTTAGAGTAGCTCATGCTACTGGAAATATCCTAAGATGGAACAAAAGGTGATGCAATTTTTTTCTAAAAACATGCTCTATATTTTATGACTAAAGTGCAAATTCAGTTATATGACACAGCTATTCTCCATTTTATTCTCCACTAAATGACTTGCAGAGCTGCAAAATCAAAGAGACTGCTCAATGGGTAGGGAAATTCTGCTATGTTTAAGAAACCACTAAAAACCCTCAGATTTCCAGTTAGATTCTGACAGCACATAATAACAATAAAAAGAATTCACTTACCTGTATCTATCTCCTCATCATCATGATTAAGAGCTAAACTGCTGACTAGTGCCTCTGCTTCATTGTCATGTTCCTGTGACAAACAATGAATAAAGAAACAATATCTCCAAATATTAATTGAGCCTAAGGAAAAATATCAACAATATTACAGAAAAGATATAGCAGAGAGGGGGGGGGAGAACTCTTGGCACAGCATGTTGAGCTTCAAGCAAAAAACATACACCCCAGACAGAAGATACACATAAAAATATACAAAGGAGGATGACCGAATTAAGAATTACTGCTCCTAAAATAGAGACGGGATTGTTGATTTCAGCATGAAAAGTCTTGTGGTTTACTTTGATTGATCGAAAAAATTTAATTCATATATTATATCATCTGCCAGATGTTCAGATAGGCTAAGCCAAAGGTTTTGTATTGTTAAAAATTGCTGTTTCTTAATCAACAGCATCGGTTGCATGTGCTTGAGAGAAATTTTGTCGAAATTCAGATTCCAAAATCAAGAAAAGAGACATAATTTAGAGGCAATTTTTTAAAGTAAATGAATGAAACAGCCTTTTCTCTCTCCTGAAATATGTTGGTTACTGGGCTTAGAACCCTTGAACAGCTTACCAATGATATATTGCTGGTGATGTGTCACCATCTCAACCAAACAGAATTACTTTATTTACTGATTTTGAAAAGATAACGACATTCCTTAAACAAAAGATATATTCAAATTGAAACACTAGTCTTACTTGCCCTTGGAACAAAAACATGATATCACAGTCAAAAATTATGAAAGAACAGAAATGAAATCAGCTAGAAGACTGACGATTAAAAACTATCCGCATTAGACAACATTACACATTTTTCTTTAACTGCAATGTGGGAGACTGGAAAATAAGGAAGAATGTACCAGACATATAACACACAATCTCAGATTAGGACTTTCAGCTTGAACTTTTGATTTTCAAACTGAATTTCTAGCAAGCTGAAATGAGTAAGCCAAACCAGTGCTCATGATTAGCTCTTTTTGCAGTGAAGTATTATGTCAAATTACAACAGGCATTCTCAAGGCTTTTACTTTACCAATTGCACTTTTCGGCTTTATTTTGATGAAAAAGAAAGTTTGATATGACAGATCACCTGCAGTATTTGATATAGAAAGCATCTGGCACCAGAAACATATTTTACAATGGGCACACAAAAAAAATACAGGGGAAAGATTGCATATGTTCTCAAATATTGAGTCTTGTGTATCAGTGCTTCCAACAACTGAAGCTGGAAAGGAAAACTCTGCCAGGGGTTAGGCCCAGCACTGTGTCCGGAGCAAGCCTGGTGGGCTCATGTAATCTGATACTCTCAATGATGATGGGCGTTTCCCATTATGTGAGCAGGGCAAATTGATTTTGAGACAATGCTGAGGAAAAGCTTGACCACCTTTTTCGAAATAAACTGTTCAGCATGAAATAAACTGTTCAACATTCATGCGGGTATTTAAGAAAAGTGCTGCCAATCAGTGCAACCACCAGCTGAAGCTGAAAAGTACGGAAAATTCTGCAGGGGGTCTGGGGTTCCCGGTGGGTGTTGAGGGGGCAAAGCCCCCGAAGAAACTGAAACTTAGTTCTTTTAGAGGGTTGAAAATGGCATTTGGGAGCCTGTTGAAGAGATTGCCTACAGCCCATAACATTTATTTTTTCACCAACATTTTGTCTTGTTTGATTTCTTCACCAACATATCTTTCTATTGCTGGCAATATTTAAAAGCAGGTTTCCCTTTCATTGCCACTATAATTCAACTAATTTGTCGTCGCACCATTGATAGCAGGCAAACCTGGGAATAATAAGTAGACGTACCTTCAAAATACAGTTGCGCGGCGTATACCCAAACTTTTTCTCACACCACTTTGAATTATTTTTTATTTTACCCACGGCTGGATCGGGCCGATCGCCAGACTCGATCGCCCGAAACTGAAAGAAACACGTTTGTTTTTGAGGCGACCGAGTCGGGCGATCAGAGCAATCGGTCAATCCTATCCGTAGTGGGCACCCCCGTATCAGCATATATTTCTTTCATCGCGGCCCTTATCGCGTTCCCGAAGATAGACAGAAGGAATGAGTGAATGATAGAAAGGAGGAAATTGGCACAAAAGGTTCGCCAGATTTTGATCCATTTGCAGGTAAAAAATGTAGTCGACCAATCCGCAATGAATGCATGGGGCATAGCGGAATAATGGCAGATTGCAGGAAATTCGCAATCTGACAGGTTTCTATAACTTTAACTTGTTGCCGAGAGAATTACCGTAAATATCCGTAACTTATACAAGACGATACGAAGGCGAGTACGGAAATTCGGTCGTCCTTCGCTGTCGCAGTTTTTTTTACAGAGGGAGTTGATAATGATAAAGGAACAAGTACAGAACTGACAGAAAGTACGGATTTCCGTAAAAATACGGAAGAGTGGAAGCACTGGCCAATAAAAAGAAAGTACGGGAGTTCAGTCAAAGAATGCCATATTCTTTGAGCTATCTGTTAATCCCAAGTTTTATATGTTCAGGTTACCTGTGCTCGACTGTACAGGGTGAAATAACTTTTAACAACATTGCAGGAAATAAACAAATCCTGGGGGAACATCCAGTTCTATGTCAAAGAAATAAAAACTGCTTACCCTCTCAAAGTCATCTCTGTATGGCATGTAGCCCAGCTCCTGCTGCTGCTGTTGCCCGATTTCTAAAGGTGTAATAGGAATGGTCAAACTCGGTGAGAGGGGACCTGCCAATGCTGAAAATATAAAAATGACATGCAGTCTAATGTAACTCTAAAATTTAGTCCAACGCTTACAAGTTTAGCAAAATAAAACATATCATCAATATCACAAAGCACTGAGGACATTGTCAATTAACCCTCTTAGCGCTAAGCCATTTTTACCATTACTTCCCTTCAGTGCTTGGTTTATTTTAGAAAAATGCTAATTTTCAACATGGCTTTAAAAAAAGATCATATCCTTCTTATTTATCATAATTTCTAATTACAGTAAGAAGGAAAAATGAGTCTTAAATAATGAACTACCCTCACATCTGGTCAGATGTGTTTTTTAATGATGTTGTTGTTGTTGTTGTTGGTATCAAAATCCTCATCATTTTTAGTCCAGCCTGCTTGGAGATCAGCAGGAATATCGACGTCCCCTTCTAGGCTTAACCTCGCTAGATCTAGATCTACGACACGATATCCCCATCATTCACACGTAGATCTAAATCTTTTATTTGAGAACCTAATCCTTCTTAACTCTTTATCACTGTGGTCCGATTCCAGAAAAATGTTGGGTAAATCTGTGTCTAAATCATCTGACGGATCCGACATCTTGAAAACTGTAAACAATATATATCCAGGAAAATTGCCAATAAAAAACTCCAAACCGATCCCCGACTGCTAAATGCACGGCCAGCAGCACTAATAAACGCTGCACTGGTAGACTGTAGTCACCAGCAGTTTAAAAAATGGCTATTATCATGTCAGCGGTATAGTTTCTACACTCATGTCGGATCATGACCGGTGGTCGCGATGCGCACGGAAGGGAGGTACGAGTCATCACGACCCGCACGCAGAGGGTTAAAATAAATGGTTAAAAAGAGAATTTTCATGAAAAGAAGTTGACTACTAATGAGCTATTTCCAGATATCAACTCATCCATATCTCAACTCAACAATCTGGACCCAGTGTTTCTAACAGCTAAAGTTGACAAGTAAGGACAATTCTGCCAGGGTCTGGAGGCCGCATAGGTGCCGAGTAGGGTTCCAGATGGCAATCAGGGGGCAAAGCGCGCGAAAAAATCGAAATTTAGTGCTTTCAGACGGTTGAAAGTGGCATTTTGGAGCGAAGTGAAAGCCAACAACCCATTTACATATCTTTTCACCTAGATTTTGTCTTGTTTGATTTCTTTATCTACATATCTTTCCCTTGCTGGCAATGTTTTAAAGCAGATTCCCTTTGCCATTGCTACTAATTCAATTAATTTGTCATCGCACCATTGACAGACAGCGAACCTGGGAATAGCGAAAAGATACCTTGATGATAGAGTATAGAGTAACCCAACTTATACCCTATTTTCCCTCCATTTTCACTTTGAATGTCAAATGTCACAACCTCGGAACACCACTTCAAATCATTCTTGATTTGAGTAGTTTTAGCACAAATTTCTTCCACCCGTGGCCTTTATCTGTATCACGCTCCCACAGAATCACCACACTGACAATTTCTCTAGATAAGATATAGACAAATTGTTTTTAAAAAACTCTTTCCGAAAATCACAAGTCAATTTGCTTGATCAACCTGCAGATTTTCCAACTGCAGCAACAATCCGAAGATAAAAATAGAAAGAATGAGCGAATAAGGAAAGGAGGAAATTGGCACAAAAAGTTTGCTATCATGGCTAGCCAGATTTTGATCAATTTGCATCGCAGCTTGAGCTAGGTAAAAAATGTATTGCCGATCAACTCGCAATGAATGTATAGAAACGGATAATGGCCAATTGCAGGAAATGTTGATTGGGTAGATGTTTTACGGCACTATCGACACAATTTTGGTCATTTAAGCGCCATCAGGTTTCATCGCTACAAAATCAGAC